CAGAGAGACAAAGACAGACAAAAAGACAAAGAGTATAAGGAAGAGAAGAAAAAGTGTCCCAGGTGGTCATTTTTTACTGTTACACTGGAAATTGCTACAGCTTTGATAGCTACTCACTTCATTTAAAAGTGCACAACACCCTAAATATCCTGAACGTAGCGTGAATGCCTTTTTACAAGGCACAGTAGTTAGAGTGGCTTATGAACCAGGCAGTAGGAGGCACTCACCTGCCTGCCAGCAAGTTAAAATAATTAATTGTCACATTTTCTACTTTTGAAAGTATAAAATACAAGAATCTAAAGCAAAGAGCAAGCTCCTGCAAGGTTCTGTATTAACACTATGTATTTTACCTTAAGAAATAACAATCAGAAGTAATTTTCTGTTCTATCAAGTTACTAGTTATAATGGCAAAATAGAAGCCAGCTCTGTGGCTGTGAAAGCTCCAGGACATCATTGTAAAAATCAACCTGGCCGTAGTTTTGAAAAGACAAATTGCTAAGCCTGAAAAAATGTGTGCTCAAAACCTTATGTTATTTAAACAGAGCATAAAATAGCTATAAAAGAATAATTTTTATATTAATTATATGTATATAAGACGTGTCACCATCTATAGATCTTGTTCTCCAAAAATGTAAGACCCTTTTATGGAAAACAAACCTTTTAGAAAGGAAAATTAATCAGAAAATATGGCACTTATACTTCACTCAAATTCAGATAAAAGTTAGTAGTACTAGCATTGATTTAAAAAAAAAACCTCTTTCAACTCAATAGGAGTTCACATTAATTTAATTTAATTTAATTTTAACACATTTATATGTATAGTGGCAAACTGTATATTTCCTTAGTTTCTAACTCAATAAGGAGTTGTTAAAAACTCATCTTTTATGCTTCTTGAAAAATCACGTAATTTTGGAAGTCAGCCAAAGTGTGTAAGTCACCTTGCTAATTTCTAAATCTTTTATATTTTCTGCATATGAGAACAGTCAGATTTGGGGATGAAGAGCTGTTCAAGGTCAAATGGGAGTGAGTGTGATAAAAGACAGATTAAGAAAATCTTAACATTCATTCGCTAGAAATATGTATTCCTAATTTTCTTCTACCATACTAACTAATCTTAGATATCTGAATTTATGCTAAACATTTTCCCAGTTTACCCATTTATTCTTGAAAACGATTCTTTGGGCAGGTGATTTTCTAAATTATACAGGTCCCTAGAGGTAGGAGCAGGCCAGAGTTGGTCTCAATCTGCTCTCTTGAGTCCAGGAGCACTATCTATCTGAATCTAAGGGTACACAACTCCTTGCTGTCAGTTTTCTTCTTGTTTTGAGAACAACTATATACTTGCTAAACTTATTTTCTGACTTATTTTTCTCATACTTTCTGCATTGCTGTTTTACACTAATGAGACCTCCTATCAAAAGCCCTCATTTCATTTACAGATATACTGACTAAAATAACTAAAATACGTAATATCTAAATATCACATATTGCTGGGAAGATAGATTGGCAGTCTAAGTGCCTTCCTGGCAAGCACAAGACCTGGGTTTGATTCCCTGTACTGACCCCTACCCAGGTCCACCCTGGACCCACCAACCCAGCCACCAAAACTGGGCGTGGTGGCTCATGCCTGTAATCTCAGCGCTGGGGAGGCTGAAACAGGAGGATCACTAAGAGTCCAAGCTTCACAGAAAGACCCTGAACCAAATATATAAATTAAAAAATAAATAAATAAAATAAATCTTAAGTATTGTCTATAGCCTTAATACCCTGAATGTGCCCAATCTTGCACACAGTTGGAAAAGGGAAGGAAAAAATGATAAACCTAGATATGAATGGTATAATTTATTTCAGTGAAAAATCTATTTATTTTGGAAACAAATTCCAATGAAAATTCAGTATGTTAATTATGTAGTTTCTTTTTCACCATAGTTATACTGCTTTGTGAACCAAAGAGGATAGGTTCAGGAAGCTGCTGTTAGACTGATCCCTTCCTTCTTCCAACTGAAAAAACCAGAAATGAGAGTTTTGTCTACAAGGATCCAATCCAGCCACAGTGAGCCTCCATCTTTCTTCATTCCAGTCCCAAAGATTTAAAATTGAAATAATGCCTCTCTGCTTTTTTTTTTTTTTTTTTTGAAAAATGACATGTACTCTGGTTTCCTATAGGCTTCTAATTCATTAATCACTTCATGACAATCAAGGGCTCAAATTTCAGATGTGAAAAAGAAGTTGTGTGCAATTATAATGTACAATCAAGTAAAGTTCTGTCATTTAAAGAATTTGAAGCTGCTATTTAGGCCCAATAATAGCTACCAACATTACCTTTTCTCCTGAATTTATTTCTTCCCCTTGTTCTTGTTCTGACTCTCCAGGTGCTGCTGCAGGCTCTTGTGCTTGCTGTAGCATTTGTTCCAGCTCTTTCAGCAAACCTTCTGTCTCAGAGACAACTAAAAAAGCATCATGAATATAGTTCTAAAGGAGCAACATAATTACCCTGCACCACAGAAAGATGGAGGATCCAAGAAGCCTCTACAAACATAGCCTAGCAAAAGGCCATAACCCCTTGCTCCTCCATCTACCACAGTGACTACTAGAATCTGGCATTCTACCTCCTGCCTCTGACATTTATTGGCAGCTCACAAAAATCACAGCAGGCAAAGCAGTGGAGAGTTCATGGAACATGAACGTGTACTCAACAGGAAATAAGAAAGGAATTTTAAAATTTGGCTAAAACAGATTGATAACAGTGTTAAATAAAATTTTGGCCGATTATGAAATAGAAAGATTCCTTTTATTGGAATCACTGGAAAAACAACATTCCCTTTAAATTTTTTTTTACATTATAGCTGTCTATATTTCTATTGATGTTTGTGACTTGCTCTAAGCACTTTTTATTAAATCAACAAATATTTATTCTGTACTTAAAGGGACAAGAAATTCAAGAAAATAGATAACACAGTAACAATCCCTCTCAGTTATGAGACCTTCCTAGCCCACTTTAGCTTTACTTTATGAAAAATTTTCCTTCAAAAAATTTGGAAAAATCTTACTTTTAAGCAACTTCTCAACAAACCAGAAACCATAATAGGTTAGGTGCATCCAAGGAGATGCATTCTATAATAATTCTTAAAGGCTAAGTATGCAAACAACAAAATGCCCCACTCCAGTGGCTCTCAAAAATTGGTAGCAGACTCTACTGTAATATTCTGTAACTCAGTTGTGTCACAAATTTTCTGATCAAAGAGAATATGGGGCTAAGGGGAAAGCGATCAATGATGTAGAGTGTACCTAAGGAGAGTCACATGGAGAGAAAACATTCTCTCAGGCTTTCACAGAGAGCAAACTGGTCAAGCAATGGCGATGACTCATCCAGATGGCTGACACTGACAAAGGATCTTCAAACTGTGGTACAAGGTTTCAAGGTAAAACCTGAGGAGATTTGACTGACCTTATCAGATACAAAAGTTACATTTCTTGTTAAATACGTCTTGCTTTATCTTGGTCTTAATTATCCAGCAGAAAAGTATAAAAATGAGGTATAAAAAGTACAGCCATATTAATATCCTGACCTGTAAAAGGCTCAAGTCAACAACTTCTGACATTGCCAGTCCTAAGGATAACCCTCTACTATTATGGACTACTGGACTATATTGCAATATTTTGCTGAATTCATGCACCTACAGTATTTAAATGACAATGGAATACCCTTCTCTGACAAAACTAAACAAAAAAAGGGTATACAAATGAAGGACCATTTTGTATCTGTATATACAAAATAGTAGGACAGTTATACAGCTACTTTCTCTTAATCCAATGAGAAGGAAGATTTATAGTAATAGTGTTTGTGGACAGATATCATGTCTGCATCTTGTACTATGAATAACCACTACAAAGACAACAATATGCAATGTATTCATTATTGAAAGTGTCCTAATTGGTTTTGAAACTGTCTCATTGCTATTTGTTTCTCAATAAAATTATTAAAAAATTTGAAAGGTTGTCCTTCCAAGTTATAGAAATAAAATTAATGTGTTCTAAAAATAAGTTCCTGGTATGAGAATCACCTGGAAAATTTATTTTAAAATATGGATCCAACTTTGTCAACTGAAACAGAATTTTCTAGAGAAACATGTTTTTATTGAAGCAATGTTTTTTTGGCAGAACTGGGGACTTTTAATGAAATTAACCCACAACTTTTAATAGATTTGTGTGAGGAATCTTACTTAATAGATAAAGAAAAATTCAAGGCTCTCTGGATAAGTGGGTGCAACTAGAGAAAATACTCATAAATGAAATATATCAGACCTACATGTGTAAACAACAGAGTCTCCTTAGGATAAGAACTTGCAAGAGTAAAAAAATCTGAAAGGTACAATAGATACTGTAGAATTGAAAGGAACTACTCAAAGGAAAGGAACACCTAGGATGAGGGATAGAGAAAAGAAAGAAGGAAGAGACAAACATATGCATATACACAGGATAGTTTGGATAATTATGCTGTTGATTTCTACTGGTCTACTGAAAGAAATAGTCAATGTTTAAATTTTTTTCTTCTTTTTAATTCTTTGACAAATTTTGCATGCTTATATCTGATAATCTAAACAACAAATTTGAGGACAACAATATGCAATACAACAATCATTGTTAAATTCCTATCATTTTGTTTAGTGATAACAAAACTTTCTCTCTCTCTCTCTCTCTCTCTCTCTCTCTCTCTCTCTCTCTCTCTCTCTCTCTGGGAGGTGGAACTGTGGATTGAATTCAGGCCCAAGCGCTTATTATAGTGAGCCATCTCCCCAGCTGCCAAAATTCTCTTTAAGAAAAAATATGGGCCAGCCAAATGGCTCAGTGGAACAAAGCGCCTGCTTGGATAGGTGCAGGGACTGGGATTCCATCCCCAGCATGTTGTGCCAGCTCCGCCTCCCCACGGTACTGAGATAGTGACTGAGACTGGTCATAGTGGCGTGCACCTGTAATCTCAGCGCTTGGGAGGCTGAAACCAGAAGAATCACTATGAGTCCTATCTGTAGTGAGATTTTGTAGACCCTACACTAAAATACATTAACAAATAAACAAACTAAACACAAAAAAACACTTCTGATTATTATCATATGATTCCCCAGTGCTACTCATAAATATTGTGTTTTTCTACTTTATATTCTGAGCCTATTGAAACTGACACTGAAATTTAACGCACTGTTGAGAAGATGGATTTTGACTTATGCTGCAAAGGAATGATAGTAAACATCTCTATATTTCTAATGTTAGTCTAAAATACAATCAATTTATGATAATGAATGTCATTGTCAAATGGCACAGTAAGCTTTCTGTTTTCAACTGATCTGGAAAAATGTGTAAGCAGCCTTTTGATCAAAGTGTAGACAATGTGGTTCAAGATTTCATAAATCAGCTAGGTTCATAACACCAGCTTGACTGATGTAAAATTCTGCTTCTAAAGACTTGGAAGGCTCACTTTTCTAAATAGCTATTCCTATATTGTAAACTAAAGCTCATAATAATTTTCAGGAAATAGCAGTTATTATAATCAACAGTTTATCAAAATTGGTCAATGATATCCTCCAAGGTTAGAGACAAAAATGAATGCCTTTGATGATTACATGACCAATCATCTTATATCAGTATGGGTTATCCTGTAATTTTCTTGACTTGTTTCAATTTTTTGTTGAGCGTGAAGTGGTAATATTACAACGAGTGCAGGAAGGAAAAGAGGAAGGAAAGGAGGAAAAAGGGGGATGAAGAAAGAGAGGGAGAGAGGGAAATAGATATATCTCAATTGGAAGCTCATGACTAGCTTTTAAAAATCAGTGTGTGAACAATATTAGTTCAGGGGGCGGGGAGATGGCTTAGTAGAGTAAGCACTTCCCTGGCAAACACAAGGGTGTGAGTTCAAACCCCAGTTCCAAAAAAAAAAAAAAAAAAAAAAAAAGTACAAACCTTTCTTCTCAACGAACTAATAGAAAGTAGCTGTATCTCTATCCTAACTATCTTGTGTCTACATATATATTTTTCCACAACAAATGGTCTTTTATTTATGCTTTTGCTAAGTTATCATCATGCCTACATCTTATCTTCTGAATAACTACTATGAAGACAACAATATGCAATGTATTAATTATCGTTAACTGTCCTACTAACCTGTTTTGAAACAGTTTTAGTGCAATTTTATTTTTTTCTTATTAAAATGAAAAAACTGTATAAAAATCAACAATATTTTGATAAAAAACAAATCACTGAATAATTGTCACTGTTTTAAAGATTTTAAATGTATAAATTGAGTTCTCTTTAATCTCTACTTCTCTATCATGTTTAATGAAAACATTTCCTCTATTATTTAGAGACTAATATGAGTTACCCCAGTACTTGCATTAAAGAAAAAAATATTTAAAAATATTTTGGGGCCTATTTTTCAGTTTTTGAAAGTATTCTAGTCAAGGAGAAGGGTAAGGGAAAAAAAGGTATAAATTTTTTAATTAACCATAGATACTTTTTTCTGTGTTTGTGACATAAATATACAGATGAGTAAAGAACAGGTTGAGTTGTAACAAAAAGACCACTATTCATACAGACACAAGTAGAAATCAGAGCATGATGCTTGTTGGAAAAGTGGGATGAGGGGCAAAGGGATGAAGGGCAATGTCAGCTTCTGACCACACCACAACATACCGAGGACTGGTAGGCAAAATTTATGTTGAATCCCTAGCAGAGTAGCACATTTTTTTCCCTAGCCATATAGTCTACCTATTCAACCCAAGCTTCAAGGACCCATGATCCTCAAGGCTTACCTCATGAATCAAACCATTCTTGTATTACCATCCACTCTCTGGGTAGTATGTATATTTGTATTCAAACTTTTTTTTGAGGGGGGGGTAACTGGAAAATGAACTCAAAACATTGCACTTGCCAGGCAGATGCCTAAGCTGCTGAGCTATATCCCCAGCCTATTCGTAATTTGCTGAATTGTGTACTCCCCAAAAAAGAATGTAGAATTTAACAACAGAAACAATAAAGAAACAAAAAGATAGGAAACTAAATTAAATCAAATCAATTCATTAAGGAAAATATGAAAGGCAATAATTAATTGTAAAAGATGTTTAGACCACTTTGAATGCTACATCAAAAAATAGTCTTTGCTTTATACTTCCTAGTAAATCAAAGTAACACAGGAACTAGGTGTAAAAGTTTGATTAATTTTACTAAGCTCTGTGTCTTTGAAAATGTCATGTTACTGGGCCAGTCAGATAACTCAGCCAACTAATTTCATGCTTAGGCAGAGTGCAATGGTCCGGGTTCAATTGGCCCTGCCTGCCCCCCCCTGCCCCCGGGGCACACTGTGACAGGGACTGAGACTGGGTGTGGTGGCACACACCTATCATTCCAGTGTTTGGGGGGCTGAAAACAGGAGAATCACTATGAGTTGGATCTACATAGTGAGACCCTGGAGACCCTGTACTAAATACATAGAAAAAAAGAAAATGTCATGTTACCTTTTAAGTGCCTCAGTTTCCCAATCATTAAAATCTACTTTACAGGAGCTTGTGAAGCTTAAATAAACAAATGGATGTGAGTTATTTTGAATAGTGAAGGTATATAGTGATTGTCATAGGTACCAATCATCATTATTATTGCTATTTTCCTTTATTCATCACAGAAAAAAAATTTTTTTCCTAAACACAGAATAATAAGTGAGTTATAAAGACTAATAATGATATAGTTAATTATATTCCTGGTAACAGCTTTTACAGAAATGCAAACATACTCCACAAGTAGTATTTTTAGATAAATCTTTATTGAGCATACAATTTAAATTATTTAATGTTCCCTCAGCTCTTTCTATTAATTTCTAGAAACAGATCTGTCATTATTGGATAAAAAGGCTTCTATTGCATCTCTTTTTCATAAGTGAGGAAATGGATACTTAGAGAGATAAAAGTAACTGCACTTAATTAGTTCCCCTGCTAGTGACTAAGAGAAAAGTGAGAAAATATCCATGGAGCTTAAAGCCCACCCTGAAACAGTAAGCATAGGCCAGGAGACTAGTGCGAAATTTGATCATGTGGGGGTTTAAGCATGTTGGTCCAAGAAGTGGGACAGACATGGAAGAAGACAGTACAACTTTCATTAGTCATTTGGTGCAGGACTAACCCTACTTTACCTTTGAAGAAATGACAGCTGTCATGAATTTTAATTAAGAAGTGCATAGAAATATGAGTAGGGACTTAAAAAAAAACCTTAAGGGTTATAATTTAAAAGGAACCACTTTTTTCAAGAGGATATTCTTGAAGACTAGATATTCTTGCTTTTAATTTCATGATAGGAAGAGGGAATAAAACACAAATTAGGTTGTCTATCTTAACAAATAATATTTGAGAATTTTACCACCACACAGAATATAAGATATGTGAAGTTGTATCTCTTTCCTTGCATAGCTAATAAGATACAGTTATATACTGCTTCATGAATGGATTTCTGCTGGGCAGAGTGGGTCTTTGTATTTTCCTTTGTACATTGGAAGAAAGAAGTGTCCTCATTCTGGAGTCCTGGCTCTCCTAATGGGAAATCAGCTCAGGGATAAAGAGACATTGCCTTCCTACAGGAGTAAGTACATAAACTGATCACATGCAGCACAGGAAGGAAGTAACCAACAAAATGCACATTAATTAGTGAGCAAACAGCAGCAGATTGAGCTGGAAGAGAGATACAACAGAATTTTGTTATAGTTTAGGAAAGGAACAAATGTATTTAAAATAATTGCTCCATGCTTCTGTGCCTGCTTTAGTTTCTTTTAATGAGACTCAAAATGAATGGCCTAGTTAGTCGACTGAAATATAATGCCAGAGCATGGTGGTGGCTTTAAAGGAAAGGGACTACGGTGTTGACAGCTCCTCTGGGTTTATTGGGCTTTCAACATGAATGCCGAAGTCACATCTTGCAAATAAGCATTTGTTTGCTTTACAAGACTAATGCTAATGTAGGAGTAAGTAGATTTTGAAAAGAAACTTTCTCCCTGAATTCTATCTTACTGTGTTCTAATATTGATGACAATTTCTCTGGAACCCCCAAGTTTCTACTTCCTTTTATCATTTTGGATGCCATATATTTGGAATGGAAAAGTCTGGATTGAAACATAGTTGGCATTTCCTCTCAAAACTTCTTGTGCTCTATTTTAAAAACTAAATATACAACAAAGCTAAAGGCAATTGAAAAGCCACTCTATGTAAATGAACATGAAAAGTAACCCACTAATGTTTCTCACATTTGTATTTCTCTTTCTCTTCAAAGGAAAGTACTACATTCTGTGGGACTAGATTATAAGCAAAAGAACCAACAAAAGGAAAGGTCTCCACATACCCATATTTTCCTTTGATAATGCATCCTCTGAGCAAACAATTTCAAAAGAGCATTTTAAAAGACCTTTCCTAGAAAAAACAATTAGATATATTTAGTTTTAAAAGATTAATTATGATCATTCATCTGTATTGATTTGTAATTAAAGATTATGAATATAAAATTTTAAGATATCTTCCCAGTTATCTTACATAGTAAGAGAGACAGCACGATCAAGTGAAATACAAGAGGGGGTTAATGTCAATTTGAGTTCTTACTGATTAGGAAACACTGGTGATCTACCAAGTACTTTCCACAAATGTGTGTGTGTGTGTGTGTGTGTGTGTGTGTGTGTGTGTGTGTGAATCCTCCTGAATCCTCCTCAATATCTAATTATGTAACTCTCTTTAAATAAAGAAACTGAGAAGTTTTAAATATCAGAGAAAATAAACAATCTGGCCATTTAGCCAAAACTACGAGCATGGCAGAACTGTTTTGTCAAACTGCAAAGTGATAATGTTCCCACCGTGCAATCCTGCCTGATGCTCTTCTCTACTCATTAAGGTATTAGAAAGTTACTTAATTTCTCCAAACCACAAATTATTCATCTTTTGAATGGAGATAATCATAATATGATATATATTTGTTGAGGTTGCTGTGAAGTATAACTAAAAAAGGGCAAAAAAGTCCATTAAAAAACTCTTATCTTCTGAAAGAGTACAAAGAAGAAAAGGGAAAGGACTGTCAATTTTTAATTTAGGGTGGGATTGTTTTTACCACAACACTGATTGCAGTCTTTTACAAAATACTGTGTCTAGTTCAATGACAAATACTAAAACTTGTTATCAGTGGTTTGGTAGCTTATACTGGTTTAAAGGTCCATTTCTGGTTTGCATCACCTATTTTTAAAATAAAAGCCTGTTTCTCCTTGGTTGCTCAAGTGATATTAACCTTTAAAAATTCTGGTTCAACTTAGTTGCATGAGTATTAAATTTTCTTTGTACTACTAAAACTGCTAATTGTCAATTTATATTTTAAGAAAATTTAAACACCAGTTTTCCCTAATGAAAAAATGAAAGATTCAGAGAAATGTCATATAATATAGTATATCTCAATTTTATCACTATACTTTTTAATGTTATAAAGCATACCTTTTCCTTTTCCTAATGTTAGGCTTTTTCTTTTCAATCATATTTTTGGAAACTTGCATCTATAAAACAATAGCAAAAGTATGAGTTAATACATATGCAATTGTATTTTCTCAGTGTAAAAGTGAGTCCTATATGGTGGATATAATTTAGCTGAAGAAAAATTCTTCTTCATTCTCCTGGAAATCTAATCAATCACATCACAGTAACTGCAACTGCATCAATCGTCTCAACTGCTAAAAAGAGTAAAGCAGCCTAATATGGATGTACATATTATATATTATACACCATCTCCTTTCATGTTCTTTCATAAGTATGTAGGGCTGGAGAGATGGCTCAGTGGTCTAAAGCACCTACTTGAAACAAGCTTGGCAAAGCACAGGGACCGCGGTTCGATCCCCAGCACCACATGCCAGCCCGCCCCGCCCCCTGGTGGGCTGAGCTGGCCACACACACACACAGTAAATAAATGTAATAAATAAAAATAAATAAATATTTAAAAAAAATAAGTATGTAAAAATACTAACTATAACAACATCTAAGATTTATGCATTGTATATGTCATTTTAAAGAAAGAAAAGTCAGATTCCAGAAGCAGAAGAAATGCCAAGCTGTATATGTGGAATTACTCAAGATTTTGTACCAGGGCTGGACCAAGGAGAGTTAGGATGGGGCTTTCTGTGTTTAAGAAATGACAAACGCAATGTTTTGGGAGTGGTATTGATTAGCCAATTGCACTGATAATATATAAAGCCCGAGGACTTCAAAAGGATGAAAGAGAATGAGCAAAATTTTGCTTATCAGGACTGAAAGGCAACTAAGTAGCATGTAGTCTGATGTGGGGAATTAAATGGGGCAAAAGCAGTAAAACTAAAAGAAAAACGAATAGTAGGTTCTTCTTTCCCATCCCAGTTATTCTTTCCTTTTGAGTAGTTTCTTTCCCTTTCACAATATCTATTGTACCTTTTGTATCATATTTACTCTTTCAGTTTCTTATCGTAGGGAGAAAATACCATGTTCACACATGCAGGTCTAATTTATTTCAATTGAAGCTGTCTCAATGCTATTTCTTTTTCAATAAAATTAATATTAAAAAATAATTTACTTCATTTATGAGTATGGTTTCTGGTTGCACCTATTTACCTATAAAAACTTTGAGTTTATTTTTCTTTATAGCTGAGTAATATGCCATTGCGTAAAAAATGCCACATCACTTTTTAATTATATTTAAAATAAAAAAAACTAATCCAAGTTACTCCCAAAAATAAACCCATTTTCATGCAAATAAGAAAATAATAAGCTTATATGATTGGCAAGAAAAATACAATTTTTATCTCCTATAAATGTCATGATTTTCAAATCAAATAACTAACATGAAGATTTATGCAGGAATTCCAAAACAATGAGACAGAAGTAAGCACCAAAGCTGAGAAATTAATATGAAGACTTTATAGAATTTACAACAGTAATTCAAAAGTGTTACAACTAAAGGCACACAAATTATTCTGGAGAATAAAAAACTATGAAATAATTATACTTGCATTCTACAGTTCAGGTGAAATAAAATTCAAAAACAAGCAAAATTAACATATGATACTAGAAATCAAAATACCAGTTGCTCTTGGAGCTTAGAAGAAAAAGCAAAGAGCATAAGAATATTCTCCATGGAAATATTTTGTTTCTTTATCTGGTGCTAGTTAAAAGGGAAAGCCAATTTTGTAAAAATGCAACAAGTTTTATTTACATTAATAACTTGAAATTTTACATATTTTGCATGAGAGTAAAATATTTTAAAAGTAATTATGTTGGTCTGGCCAAATAGCTCAGCAGTTTAAAGTGCCTACAAGCAGGCCCAGGGACCAGGGGTTCAATCCCCGGGGCACGCTGAGACAGCCATTGAGACTGAGTGTTGTGGCACACCCCTGTAATCCCAGCTCTTGGGAGGCTGTAAACAGGAGAATCACTAGGAGTCTAATCTAGTAGTGAGACACTGAACACCCTGTAGACCCCCTCCCTAAAATACAGAAAAAAGTAACTATCTTTTAACTTATTAAAGAGATTAAAATCAAATAAAAACACATTGAACAAATTGGTTCCCTGCAGATTTCATGGCCAATGGAATTTTTAAAACAAATAATAATTCTAAAAAAAGTCTTTGAATTAAAAATTCAGTAAATAGGGCCGGGGAGATGGCTCAGTGGAATAAGTGCTTCCCTGGCAAGCGCAAAGGCCTGAGTTCAATCCCTGGTTCCGCCAAAAAAAAAAAAAAAACAAACAAACAAATAAAAATTCAGTAAATGATTTATAAAGCTGATATATTATAGAAGGAATAAATATACTGGAAGTTAGATTTGAAGATATCACCAATTCTACAAAAGAAAATAGTTTTTGGAACAGCAGTTTAAAAGTATAGAGATTAAATGATAATGTCTACTATACTTTTAGGAATGTTATAAGGGCAATATCAAAACAAAAAGGAAGAAAAAAATATTTGAAAATATAAAGATGTTTCAAAATTAAATATAAAGACTATAGAAGTCCATTGTGCTGAACTCTTGAGTTCAGTGCCAGACTCTTGAGGTTTTTTTCCTAACTGACAATATCGGACACCCACAACCAAAAGGAGAATTTTAATGTGGCTCACGATTTGAGGAGATTCAGTCAATGTTGGGCTAGATCCAAGTCAAAAACATGGGGAAGAATCATGGCAGAGCAAAGATGCTTACTTCATGTGTACAGGAAGCAGAACAGTTGAATAACACCAGGAAGAAAGGAGCCAGGGCCCATATATAGTACCCACATTTAGGCATTCATTACCTACCTAGATACACCCAAAGATATCACTAAGAATCTACATTATAATATATAGTCATGAAACTTTACTCAACAAAAAAAAAGAAAGAAAAATGAATGAAAGAAAGAAAGAAAGAAAGAAAGAAAGAAAGAAAGAAAGAATAAGTTAAAGTACATGAAAGCAATCAGAGAGAAAAGATAAGTTACAAGCCAAAACAACCAGATGATAAAAGATACCATATTAACACTATTGAGGTCTATATTTTCAAATAATCTGTACCTAATAAAGTATAATTCAAGAAGGTAGCCATATCCTCATGTGACAGAGGCTGTATGAGGAAATGAAATTATTTTTTCTGTTTTTAATGTTGATTTCATTGATTATTAAAATGTCAAAATTTTAAAATGACATTTCTAAAAAAGTTAAAAAGATACAAGTTTGAAGAAAGAGCTACTAAAGGATATACTTGGGAGGAAGAAGAATGAACCTAGAACAATGAAAAATTAAAGATATGCATATTAACTGCAAAACATTGTGTGAATCTAAATGAATACTCACCTAATAGCAGACAAATTGGTAGTGTGATAAATAATAAGTAGGACTTATAAAAATAAACAGCTCACCTCACCTCAGTGGGTCGACTGGGAAGGAGCCATGGGATTGGTAGCCATCAGGGCCCAGCAGTCAATGTGGACAGGGCTCAGATGGAAGGAGCCAAACACAGAAAACAGACCCAAGCCAGGTTGAGGCAGTCAATTCAAGTTCACTAGAATTCAAGTTCACTAGACCTGATGAACTGAGGCATACTGCTGGGCCCAGCCGAGTCTAGAACAAGGCCTAGGCCTACAAGAGCCTCCTTGTGGAACAGAGGTGGCAGCATGTAACTGGGGTGAACTAGTCTGCCTTGAATATTCCAGGCACATGAAGGAGAGGTGACCAGACAGAAGTGAGGGGAACTAATTGAAATACAAATTGCAAATTTAAGATCTGTTTTGCTACACAGCTATACTGTTTTCTCCTGTCATCTGAAGCACAACCCATTAGTTACAAACATTTGTCAATTTCTAAATTTCACTAGCTGTTATTAGTATTACTAATTGTACTACTGTAAATAGGAAACCATACCTGCCTTAGCCACGTGTTCTCCCTTGGGTAATAATACCAGGAAATGCTTGGGTAATAACTGCATCAAGCCATACACCAAGGGACAGAGGACAGTGTCAAGTGGAAACCAATACCTCACTCTTAATTAAAAGAGAAAGCAAAATGTTGAGACACATACAATACAAGAATCTCTGACACAGGAGAGATACCTAAAAAACAGATTCTTCTCTGTCTGAAGTGAAACACAAACTTTCATAAAGTGGTATCAACGAAATCACAATACAGGGCACTCTCTGAAATAGAAAATGACAAAAGAAAGGAGAGAAAAACATTCTCAGCCCCTGAGCCCATGCAGAACAAACCCAGGAGACATAAGCATAGAAGAAATTGGAAGCCACATAACTTCAATGTCTGCAATAGCAATTGAAGTAAAGAAACAACTGCAGAAAGGTATACAGGAAATCAAATCAGAAATAATCTCACAAGAAAAAATAAGAAATGATTATAATGAAAGAATTACTGTTTCTAAAGAAAATGCTGAATAAAATAGAGGAGAATAGAAAAATAATGAAAACCTTTAATGAGAAATATAGGAAAAAAAATAGAATGCATGAAACAGATTCAAAGAGATATACAAGAAATTTAAAAAACTGCATTAAAAGTTGACAAAAGTATTTGAATGAAAATGAAGATGGACTTTTAGACCTTAAAAAACACCATTAAAACTAGTGAAAAAGGTAAGGAAAGATCTCTTAAAAACAGCTAGAATCTAGGAAATAATAATTCAACAGCTATAATACAATGCAAAGATGAACAACATAAGACTAATAGGCATCAATGAGAAAGAAGAAGGAAACACAAACAACATAAAAAAGACTATGGGCAGAAGTAATAGCAGAAAACTTCCCATATACAGGGAAATAATCTCACATTTAGTTAACCAAGACATCTAGAACTTCAAATGATATTAACTCAACTAAAACTATACCCAGACATATAATAATAAGGATCCAAGAAATTCAGCAGAAAACAGAGTACTAAAAGCCACTAGAAAAAAGAAACAGATCTCATTTAAAAGGAAAATCCATCAGAATAATAGCAGTTTTCACCACAAAAACAATCAGCTTAATAAGAGCATGGAGTGAAGTACTTCAAATTCTACAA